CCATATTTCAAACGCGCTGCAGCCTGTAACCGTACCGTCTTTTTCTCTACACTGAGGCTACAGCCTACAGACGTACAGTATACGTTCCGTACAGATATTCTACATTACCACACTAGTAGTAGTACTACTACTAGTACCGTACGCGCACTACGAGGCACTCACAATAGCACTATAAATTACAGTACGCACACCGGCACACGGTTAATTAAACGGACACATTCTAAAACACTGCCGACATCACTCTCAGGCGTATCCCCTTCGCGCCGTTTTCTTCCTTTGTTCTCCCCTTCCTGGAATCGTCCTCGCGGCTAGCGCCATCTCCCGTGAAATAAACTGCACATCGATGCACGATTCTAAAAGCGAATCTGCTACACTAGTATAGAAATTAGCGACACGGGTCGTTTAACGTTAGCAGATAGCGTCATAGCTATTTTGAGTAAACAGCTCAAGGTAACAACAAGCAAAAGTCATCACCCCCCGACGGCCCCGAGAGAAGATGTAGACGGCGTAGCGGGTTACCTGGCCGAAGTCACACCGATCGATGTTACGACTGCTACGAGTTTTATAACGATCACCAGCCGCACACGCCGGGCGCGTGGCACAATTTCACATGTTACATTTTTCGTATTATTATTTTTCGTTACATTATCTGTTCAATACGAGTTACATTTTGCGTGTGCGTGTGCGTGTGTGTGGATCGAGGCATGTGCATGCGTGCCAGCGAGAGAAATGTGATCTTCGCTGGCAGTGTTGGGTGGGTACGTGCTGTATCTATAGAGGGTTCCGCGAATTTTGAAATTACCCACAATGCAACGCCGCCGGCCATGACGATTCCAGAAACCAGCTCAGGCATGGTACAAGTACATTGAGCAACGCACCTCTGCTCATTTTATTCGCCTATTATTAAGCAAATCCATCATAACGCCGCTCTCCTGCGGTGTTGTCAACTGCAGCAATCGGTATCAGAGAGAGCCACACAGCTTTTTTAGGCTGCCTAGCGTGATCACAACACAAGGTAAAGTGACGAGAGACAAGGACCACAGACGCTTGGAGCATTTTCAATAAAAAAAGCAATGCTGAATAAACACGAAATGTATTTACTAACAATGTCTTAATGTTTCTCTACTCTCTTTCGCCTAGTATTGCCGATAATTACCTGTAAATGCCGCTGATAGGGTCTATGTCCCCCATGGTACTGCCGGAACGTACCCTGGTAACTATCTAGTTGATATGGTTAGGGTTAGGGAGTAGGCGTAGGCGACTCCCTAGACTCGTTAGTGGAGTAGGCGAGGTACGGTCCGGCATATTAGATAGTAGTATTTAGTGGAAGGGTACGTTCCGGCAGTACCCTGGGGGACATAGACCCTATCAGCGTAAATGCCGGTTAAATGCTCCTCTGCAACACAGGTACACCGCAGTCACGGCGCACGCCGCTACACATAACTCATTCTACACTTATTAGACATATTATATCGCCGCATCCAAAGTAGGCAGCTGTTTGAGTGAGGTGTGGTGATTTCTCTTGCCTGTGCGCATTAATCTACATAAATAGCACCGAGGCCAACATTGAACAGATTCACCAAGCCCGGCTTTACAATTTACAGTGTGCTGACGGATGCCGCCCATTTATCTCATCGTGGACCCAGCCACGGATGAGAGATGGCTATACTCATGAGACTGGAGAGTGGGATAACACGGTGCGTTCCGGATGAGACGCTGAATGGGACGCTTCTCACTGTTCACATGATAGGATGTAGAACTGACAATACAGAGCATAAACCCAACGCGCCAGAACAAGTCCGATCTGTGAGGCATCCAGGCTTTTGGGTCTGAAAGTCCCTGAGAGTATAAAATGGACTCGCTAGAATGTTAGGTAGTCAATTCACGAGATCCGAATAAGTACGTGCATGGACACAAGGTTGTGGTTCATCGGCGCCATTCTCGCTACTGGGTGTCGTGATTCGCCAATGCACGGAATAGTTCTCGAGGAGTAGCGTGCTTTGACTACTGTCTAGTGAATCAAAGTACTTGTCCATACTACGACACTTCAGACTGTTGGCAAATGTGATACACCATGATAATCTATTAGAAACAGCTGGTATTGATAGGCTATATGCCAGTATATAAATCGGTGAAATTTGCTAAACACCCCACGATGGTGACAGCAAACTCAATAGTTACACCATTGTCAATGATGCGGTGCGTGCCATCTACTCGCGCAATTGACTATGCCACATTGTTGCAAATTCCTCGCAGATGATAGACGTGACGGTGTAGTGCAATTGCACATATGCTAACTCGAAGTGCCAGCGTTTTAGGCTTCCAGAAAAGAGATGCCTATGCACGTCTGCACTTGCACGACTGGTAAGCACTAGCAACATCGCAAATATGCAGTATGCACTATGCACTATGCACGGATGCACTTATCAACTATGCACAAATCCACTGCACCATGCGACCTAGATGCCACCATGCCCGATGCACTAGTGCACGATGCGCTATTGCGCCCGTATGCACTACTGCACTCTGCTACTATGCCACTACAGTGTATGGACTATGCAGTTACAGTGTATGCCATAATGGCCTTATGACTATGCAGTACGAGTGTTGAACTAGTGCACTATGGCACTTGCAAGTACGTGATATGCACTATTGCACTATGCATATGCACTGAATGGGCTACGTATTGTTCACTAATCCTGCGCATAAGATTGATGCACTCCTGCAGTAGGTACTATACTACTGGTGATATGCACTAATGCACTACTGCCGCTCAATGCACTAATG